GCAAATACTGTAAATTACTAAAACCGTAGACGCTACGACCAAGAGTAATACACTAGAAGTCGACAAACGAGAAAGCTATTTCAGAGTTTTTCTTGAACCAAGCAACTGTTCTTCAACAGGATACAAGAAATTAATTTTTTCCGACGTTGTTTCTTATCCCCTACCACCTCCCCGTCCCGTTTCACGCATACAAATCGCACGAAATCAAGTGGTTGATTGACTAAGTATGTCCTTGTATGCTTACGCACCACTAAAAGACACATATTTGTTTTTTTTACTAAAAAGGAATGCAAATTTATTTTTTGTGTACCTTCTAAGAATAAGAAGTGCTAAAGCTGCATCATAGTTTAGTTATTAAACGCATCATAAGAGATTTCGTTGCGCTTTGTTACCTTACAAGTGAGTGCTAACGAAGAAGAAACTGCTACGAACTCTCGGCAAGCTGAAATCAAATTACAAGTTCAGTGGTATTTTGGTATTGTTTATGGACGTTCGCGAACAGTTGATACTATATTAACTTGCACTTGGTAGTATATGTAAGCGTGTAATTTACTTGGATTGATATGGCCTTTCAGAAGACCCTCAACTGAACAAATAGAAGTTAGCGAGTTGAGTGAATAAGTAGAGATTCGAATCAAACTCTTTCAGTCATCATCCAATTCGTTCCAATTATGATCTTGACCCTCACTATTTGTATTTCAAATTTGTCAGCGAGATACTAGATTTTCAGCCTATCAGTCTGAGTGTTACGGAAGCAACTTGAAAATTTTTTTTAGGTTATGCTGTACTTAAACTTGTTCTCCATCTTGTTTTTAGCCTGCAACTGCGAATTACCATATTCTGAAGTATGTGCTTTCTGGTTGGTAAAGAAACAGATCGTTCTTGTTAGTATGTTTTAGGAGCAAGATGAGAACAGTACGTTATTCTCAAATGAAGTATCAGAACTTCCGGAAGTTCCGGAAGTTCCGGATTCCGTCATTTTTGTTGATAGTGGAACACAGACTGAAGACACCGGCAAAACTTATGAAAGTATTGGAACGCAGACTTCATTCTCTGAAGACAATATTCCTGATTCGAAACCAAGAGAACAGGAGAATCGTGGAGGCTGCTGTCCGTCCTGCTGCGGAGGAAGAGCCTGCTGTTCGTATGGAGATTATACATGGAGTCCATGGGGTCACGGCGGTCGCAGAAGACATCACCGAGGTTGGGGTCGCTTCCATCCAAGAGGATCTCCTGGGGGATATCACCACTTTAATTATATTGGAAACCATTATCCCCACCACCCTCATCCTTTCGAATATCAGTATAATTACCACAATCATCAGTTCGGAAATCATCATCAACACCAACCTCATTATTTCGGAAATGGGTATCACTACTACTAGAGGAAGTACTTGCTGAACTATGTTTCCTCTTATTGTCGTCGAGAGAGGGAAAGAACATTTCCTCCAACTCACTTCTTGATAAGCGAAATTTCAGTAGGACCATGTTTTTTTTCTGAACCCAATAAATCTTTCTATCAAAATTACTAGTTTATTAACGAGCGCCAGAAAAACAAAAAATTTTCATTCTTCAGTTACTACACACCTGTTATGTAAGATTCTACAATGTTAAACAACACTGCATCATGCGTGCCAACTGCGATGAAAATTGATTTGTCATTGTAGTGTTCCGTATATTTGACGGCTGATGCTGTGCGTCTGCAGTGGTGACAACATTTGCGCGAAAACGAGTGTAATCCTTGTGCGTTTCGAACGATTTCGTGCGATTTGCCTGTATAAAGTGGCAATCGGAGCAACCGGTTACCATTGATGCTTTTATTTTCCTTTTTATACTTACCCTGGTACCGACTGACAGTTCATTGAAGGTGGAAGGCGTGATTGACCCAGGGAGGATCAAACTTTGGTCCGAGTCTGGTTATAGTGGCGGCTCTTATCATTATACCAAACTTTCTCTTTAAATAAACTCATAAAGGCTCTCACTTCGTCAGATTGGCACAGTAATTATCGGGTTTCAATAGAGTTTTTTATTTTCGTATTTGTTGCAACTATGTACTACGTGTTTTTTTTAAGCCAAGAAAATCAACATAAAGTCAGGAAGCCAGAAATATGCAGAAGAAATTTTTTTTTGAAAGTCTGAACAAAAATCTGAAAACTTCCGAAGTTAGACAATGTAGAAACGATGGATTGAAAATTTTAGTAAATATCTTAGTTCATCGAAAGAATTACTTCACAGTACAGCGTTTGTCCACCATCCTTTGAAGCATGTACGGGTAGGTTCACCTTAATTATCTACAAAACACTGCGTATTGTTTTTTGGTGCACACATATTTCATGAAATCCTTGTGATCTTTGCTCCTCATGTCGTATCTCTTTTGGAGCACCGCAATTATAATAGATCTGTTGCTTGAACTGAATTGAATTGCTCCAACAGACTTGTCAATAAGGTCTGAACAAGCCCTCTAATACCCTCCATAACATACTGATAGATTTGAAAATTTGAATGTAAAAATACTACAGTCAAGAAGTGAAAACGAAATTGTATCATTAAGAATTATATATTATATAACAGTATCTTCGTTCTTTTAGCAAACGGGTGGAGGTAAGTAGAAGAACTCGGTTCTCCGTAACTTCTCACGGTTAATAGGATTTCCAAAGAATGTTTTTTCTGAGAGCAGCGTTTCATTATTTGTAGGGGTACTTAGGACTTAGCCTTTCCTATTCTTCCTCCATTCCGACCTGTTGATTAGACTGCTTCATATACTATCGTATGCTCAAACCGAATGATGCTGAACCTTTAAACTTTAATTTATCACTTTTGTGTTCTTTTTAGAGGTAAGAAAGAGGCTGCTTTAAAATGCCAGGAATTTTTTTAAGTAAAGAATGTACATGGAAATCAGGGGCCAGCTATGACTGCTAGCCATTGCCGAATTACGCTTAGATGGGTGGTGTCTTCATCCAGATGAGTGGCCATGCAAATGGAATCTCTCGCATAAAAGGTGAGTGGTAATTCTTACAAGCCATAGAGACCAAAAGTACATGAAGAGAACCCAGCCTTATGTTATGTAAGTTCCATGACTTCTCCCATGACGGGCAATTTCCAGTACTCCTTTTATTGCTGTTTGCTCATGAAAATTAGTGGTTAGTTGGTACAGTTTCTGACTAGTTTATAAAAATTTACATTGTTAGTACACGCACCCCTGTTTATTCATTTAGGATTTTATGAACTTTCAGCAGAACGTCCTTGACTGAGTCAAAAGATGGTAAGAGTTTCGACTAAAATGAACGGCTTGATGACAAAATCAGCTGATCGTGGTCGTTTGGCTAATTCGCTCCGATTATGAGTGTCGCTTGGCTTGTTAAGTATATCGTGTTGGAGCTACTAGTGTTGGACCTGATCACAGTCATAAAAGAGATTAAGCATGGAAAAATCACTCTTCTAGAAAATGCTATTTTGAAGCACATTGTTCGCTTTGTTCTGACCTGCAATTGTGCACAACCATTCGATCCTGATACTATAGTATGTTCACTACTTCATTCTCGTGAGAGACATTCACTGGCTGTAGAACACTTCAGAAACAAGATGGGAATGATGAGAAGTTCAATGAGGGGGACGAGAAAATGAAGCGACACGTTCGTTAGTGAAGCTTCTTTCAATAGGACCACAGCGCCTCCAACTCCTACCGGAGAAGAGGGGTGGGCGTGGCAAGAAGCAATCTGCTGTCTTGAAGGACCCTGTTGCGGAGTAGTCTGCAGTTTGGGAGGAGGTTGGGGTTACAGCAGCGGATAGGAAAGAGACCGTTACTGGCGTCACGGAGGAGGAGGCAAAGAGGACCATAGTGTGCTTATCATTGGTGGATATTGCTTTACAACTGAAAGGACCAATTGTCGAAACAAGTTCAATGTTTCTATATCGAAGATGCCAGGCAAAAACTTTTTGAACTTGTCACTTTGAAATATTCTTAGAGGCATGAATAGTCTTAACAAAGTTATACGTCATTATGCCACTAATTTCAGAAAACTCAAGTGCTGGGTACCAACAAAGATGCAGCCTTAATTTTGAATTGCGGTAAAAATAACTTTGACAATTTCGTTGTGTTACCACCGAAGGCTCTTTCAGCATTCCACATGCATGTGTTAAGCTTTCGAACTTCTGCAAACTTTCAAGCTTGTTTTTCTACATGATCAACATAGTTCGCACAATACTTGTCCACATTCTGAATAACCCACCAGCACAGTACACTTATAATGAGTCTGAGAAACAACTAGAGCAGCCCACTTTTAGCACAAGATAATCGCAGTGCTTAGTCAGTACTGTTTGGAAAGACTATGATATACTTATAGTATGTTTGAAGTATTAATATACTTATCAACGCAAGACGTTATGACCCATATCTCCCGTGCTTAGCTTGAATAACGATATATTGAATATATCTTGAATATCGATTCTAGGTTTGTGGTTTCTGCTGATATCGTTTCAAGAGTAAGCAGCTAGCAATAAGAGGTTTAAAAACTGTAAGAGAAAAATTCACAACGTGGTAAGATTACTGCAAAGAACATACATGCTATTTATTGGTCATAGTCAAGCTGACCACAAGTAGCTATTAGACAACAAAAGTGCTCATAACTTCTGCCGCAGGTTCAGTTGGGAAGTTATGGGCTACGTCAAAGTTCTCTACCTGAATAAATAGATAGTGTAATTTCAACTAAATAAATAGTAATTTCAACTATATAAATAGCTAGCAAATTTGACGGAAGATTGGTTAGCCAGGGTCAATTCGGCTAATTCTTTTCTCTCATGGTTGTAACTGGACCCAGTTATTTGAGCCGCGTAGTTTTCTTAAAGTTAGGAGCTAATGCAGTTTCGTTTATGAGTCAACGACAAATTGAAAAAATGTATGGCTGTTCGTACGCTTTCAGTAACTCACAAACAATTTTGCAAACTCTACGAAATGTGTTAAATGTACTTACTCTGTAGTGAATTAAATAATTTTTCAGAGGATGCTCGTTTTATATTTCTTCTTCGCTCTGTTCCTGGCAGTTGATTGTGCAGTACCGTTCTATGATGTATGTGTGCTTTAGTCTTTGTTAGGAAACCTGAACTCTAGCTGTACAGCACCTTTAGGAGGTAGATGAGAATCAAGCAGGCATTGCTGGACCACCACCACCACCATCACCACCACCAGAGCCAGTGGCAGGTACGCTACCTGTCCTCAAGTTTTGTAGAACATTATTCTGACACAACGCTTGCAGGAAAGGAGGGATCGGGGCAAAGCTGTTGTCCCGAATGTTGTGGCAAGAAAGGTATGCTACCTGTTAAGTTTTGTAAAACACTGTTCTGATACAATGCTTGCAGGAGGGATGGGATGGGGGCAAAGCTGCTGTCCCGGATGTTGTGGAGGCCCTGGAGATGGTGCTTCTTGGGGATATAATGATTACAAAAGAAGTACGCAATCTGTCCTCAAGGTTTACAGAACACTCTTTTGATACAACGCTTGCAGGAGGAAAGGGATGGAGGCCAAGCTGCTGTTCCGAATGTTGTGGAGGCCCTGGAGGCGGTGCTTCTGGCGAATACAACAGTGGAAACAAGGGAGGTACGCTACCTGCCCTCAAGTTTTAAGAACACTATTCTGATACAACGCTCGCAGGAATAGAGAGATGGGGGCAAAGCTGCTGTCCCGGATGTTGTGGAGGCCCTGGAGGTGGTGCTTCTGGCGAATACCATGGTGGATACAAAGGAAGTACGCTACCTGTCCTTAAGTTTCAAAAACACCATTCTGATACACCGCTTGCAGCGGGGAAGAGATGGGGGCAAAACTGCTGTCCCGGATGTTGTGGAGGCCCCAGTGGTGCTTCTCCGCAATACTATAGTGGGGGACCGAGACACCGCCAAAAAGGACGCCACGGTCATCGAGGACGCCACTTTAGAGGATGGCCTCGACAAGGATGGGGATACTACCCCAATCAAATCGATTACAAGTACTACAACAATTGATATAAATATTTGTTGGGTTAAATTCGACTTTCCTAGAACCGTTAAAAGGTGCCAAAGCAACACAAGCCTTTTAGGTTTTAGTTCTTATATCCTTATTCTCTACTTGCGCTTTAGTCTATAGTGACACTGCTTACGCCCTGATGATTATATGAACTCAAATGTCAAGTTGATTTACTCAGACACAGAAAACGTTGATTTCATTGCATTACCGAAAATTAAAGCTCAAACATAGTAACAATCGGTTTCTGTGGGCTGTAACCTTGCGTCTAGTCGGCGCAATCTTAAAAGCTCCATGAGAAATAAGGCTTTGGCCATACTTTGCCAGTGTTGCCGGTGTTGAAAGTGTTGCCGGTGTTGAAAGTGTTGAAAGTGTTGCCGGTGTTGAAAGTGTTGCCAGTGTTGCCGGTGTTGAAAGTGTTGAATGGAGATCATCAGTCTAGCAGTTTCATTCTTTCTCGAACGATCTCACCGGCTGGTGAATACGTTGGAAATGGAACTGGGGAATGAGAAATGAAACTGAAATGAGATGGGGAATGTTTTCGCATGCAAAAGATCCTCAAACAAACTTTTTGAAAAGTGGATGGCTTGTCTGGAATAGGCAATCTCCAATATTTTAAAACGCTGCAGACCTCACTTAGATCCTTCACTCACTAATCGCAAGCGCGGCAGGATTCGAACTAAAACACATTACTACTCAGACTTCAGCGTTTTAAAATATTGGAGATCCATTTCCAAGGTATTCACCAGCCGGTGAGATCTTTCGAGAAAGAATGAAACTGCTAGGCTGATGATCTCCGTTCAACACTTTCAACACTGGCAACACTTTCAACACCGGCAACACTTTCAACACTTTCAACACCGGTAACACTGGCGAAGTATGGCCAAAGCCTAAGATAAGAGCATGCTTTGTATACCAAAGAGCATTTCTATTATTGGTTGGTCGAAGTGGGCTTTTGAAACAAATCATCGTGAAGGGCATGAAACGCTGCCAGATCTGTCTTCCTTAACTGCGGAGCATTCATAGACGAGAAAGTATGGGCATTTATTGGAGTAAAAATTAAAATCAGTTGCTGAAATTTTCCTAGCGCTTAAATGAGGCATTGGAGTTTGGATATAATTCATCTAAAATTATTCACTGCATAAAGTGTTCTGGTAATTATAACTGCTCCAATCAAAAGTCGGAAAAAATGGTATGACTATTTTTGTTCTACTTATAAATCCGATTTTTTGCGCAGATAAGGAAAACAGATCCTGAATCAGCGTTTCAAGTCCTTGAAGATGGTATATGTTAGGTCCCAGAAGACCACTTCGACCAACCATCCTTCCCTTCCTAGACGACAGACGTGGTGAGACGTTTTTCTTAGAGGACGACGAGCGTACGTTTTATTCGCATTCCCGAAGAACGGATACATTATCATAAACAAATACATAAAGTGCAGCTCCAAGCTTATATTAAACTTTTTCCTAACCTCTTGAGCCGCTCTAAGGTATACGATGGTAGCTTCAAAAGACGAATAACTCCAAGAGCAAATTCTGTAAATTGTCCTTATGGCGATTTATTGATGGTCGATATATGGGCAATAGCTTTGATGACATGCTTCGCGTTTATTCAAACTTTGAGTAGCGTCAGTGATAGGGCAAACGGACTAAGCGAAGAGCACGTTTGTAAGTTGCTCCGATGTATTATAGCCCAACTTCCATACAATTCTTCAATAAAAAAAAATGATGTTCAGGATTTCAGTAAGAGTATTTTTGATTTACTAACTAGGGTGGGGAGTTTTAGAAACTGTGTACTTGGTTCTACATGGCATCGTCGTTTTCAATGCTATTAGATATACGACCACGTTTCGATTGTTGTATGGCTGAATCTAATTCTACAAGCTAGTATCTGATCGCCTTACGTCTTTGACAGAAGTAGTGCGAAGTGGAAAATCTTGAAACAAGCAAATTAAGTTTCTGTCGTATTATCGCACATATCCATGAGCGAAGCATTGTGATATCAAAAATGCGCAGTTCGAGTGTTCGCAAAAAATTATAAGCAGTTACAGTAAGAAAAGTTAGCGAGTCATTCACATTTAAAGAAAGGAAAACTGTTGTAGGTAATCAAGGTCTAAGATGGTTGAGAGATAACAAACCGTCATTTACTGAAAAGCAGTCCCTAAAACATTTTTGGCAGCCTTTTGGCAAAAGCCTGTATCGGAGTGCCGATGCCGATGTATTTTGCACAGATGCAGGCTATCTGAATAGTGAACATTTATGGTCACATGAAGTCTGCTATTCTATAGGATTTAGTTCATGTGAAGCATGTCCTAGCAGATATGGTTGAACTTTTAGAATGGAGCAAAGCTTGATGCGAGAGAGCGACATTACAGTCTGGAACAAAAAAAAATGCACACTGATGAAATAATGGACGCAGCAAGTCTAATTCTTTTTCTACGCTGACTGGACGCTTGTTCACTATCGTTCACTTGTTCAAAAATTCTTCTAATGATGATCAAAGCAACATGCAGGTCTCATCTGGTCCACTCGTAAGACAATGTGTGCAAAATACAGCTAAATGTGTCAATGAGTAAAAAAAATCTATGAACTTGTCGTTACTTACATCTTTAACTGCATTTTTCAACAAGTCTGAAAACGCTGACATTTTGTAAGCAAAAAATATGCTGACATACGTTAATCGCGATATACTATGGTGTTTTTATCCTGAGAATAATCACCCAATCTGTAAATTCTCTCCGAGCTCATGGTCTGTAAAGCACATGCATTTTCCGTTACTTTCCTAACTATAGAACGTCGCATCTGCGGCTTAGCGGCATCTACTAGGACGGTCAGAAAGTTCTACCTTCAATATTCAAAAATTTGTAACATTGCGTTATCTCAACGATTTGTTTAGAACTTTGCTAGAGAGAACTCTAGTCTTTCGCTTTCGAGTATTGTCTTGACAAGCTTCTGTCTTCAATGACTGCAGAGATGAAAATGGAAAGAGAAGACCATTTAAACTTTGATCATTTCAAGTCAGGTCACCAAAAATCTGAGACGCTGCAGAAAATCTAAACTCGTCGGTTCATGAGTTTTTTTTATTTATTTATTGTTTTCGGACACTCTTTGCAAGCGAGAAGGATTCATGCTGTTTTGACGTTTTTGTGAAAAGTTATGATGTTCGAAAAAAGTGATGAATCATTGGTTTTGGCTTTTGTAATAAACACGAAATTTATAACTTTTCCTGGAAACGTCCAAACAGCATAAACTTTTTACAGTTGCAAGGAGTAGGTAATAAACTCATGTACTGACGATTTTGGATTTTTGGATGCAACGTTCTGGATTTTTGGCAATCCATTTGAAGCGGCCAAAACTTAAAAATCTTCTTCATCCAATTTTGCCTCTGCGACCAGTACTCGAGAGGAACCGCTGAATACTCCTATAGAGTAAAAGGTTTTCTGTTCTAATAACATTACTGCAAAGAAAATCTTTCTAATTTGCGAGAAGTCACCATTTTTAGAGAATAAAACGGCGGAACTTTCGGACCGACCTAGTAACTTTTCAGGAAATGCTTTTACCACATTTGTTGATCCTACTAGTGTGCGACTGTGCAACGCCGATTTCGGACGGCATGTTCATCTATAATTTCGCTTTATTTATGTCACGAGTTGCATGTTTGTTGACTGTGAAATACTACAGCCCTTCAAGTGGAACCACCTAATTCTCAGATATCCACAAATGCCAGAGCAACAACGGACACCCTGCGAACATTTCTAAGGTGCACTTATATTTTTACTTTCTACGCTTAAAAACTCAAAATATTAATCTAAGCAGTGTTTTAGGAGGGAAAAGCAAATTCCTCGTCAATGCGACCGAACAAGTAGTTGATGCCAACGCTTCTGATAGTACTCTTTCTAACACTTCTCACACTACTCCAACGCCATTTTTGGAGCTGTGGATATATCAGGAAGATTTTCTTGTTTCTGGATATCAGGCTATATGCGGGAAGGCTACATCATGCGCAGAAGACGTAGTGAGAGACGAGGCAGACGACGACATCGAAGGCGACGGCACCATCGTAGATTGCACTATCATTATTAATGAAAAACAGAAGGTTAAGACATTGCAAATTTACCCTTTTCCTTTCAAACTTGCGGCTCCATGATTTGTCATTATTGTCATCATTTCAAACTTGTTTTTCAAAAATTGAAGCAGGTTTTGAGTGTACCTCACTTCGCGCAAAAGCTCAATTTGACCTTTCAAAAGAATAGTAGAGTTCTCAATAAACCTTTCCTACACAAGTAATTCGGGAGTTCTTTTGTATACTAAAGATCTTGTGCACACAGTGGCCTCTTTGAACCATCGAAGCTTATACTTCATGTTCAAAACATAACAGTATATCCTTACTTTCCATACTGATATATCCCTGAAGTTCAGACTAAGAATTTTGAGTTCAAGAGCACCATTTGATTCATCTCGGCAAGGCGCTTTCCTGTATAGAAGTGCCATAGTCTACAGAGTTGCATGTTCACGTGAGGTATTAGTTCTCACGAACTTTTCCGTTGTTTGGATGAATTACTTAGTGTGCTATAAAACATTTACGGTTGGTAGTACTTTGTATGATTACTTTGTTACTTTGTGAGCACGGTAAAAATTCACTTTGCATTGATCTGTTCAAATCGGCCCTGAGTGGCTATTTGGTGCGCAGATTGCAATGATTATGCGTGAGTCATGTGTAACTTAAGATGCGAGCCTCCGCAGCGCACGACTAACAACGACACCTTACTGGAAACCCGGAGTTACTAGGAATTTATAGCTCTCAATTTGACATACCGTGAATCAACTCGCGTAGCGTGCAATACGCGTGTTAAGTTGTAAATGGATTGACGATACATTCAATTGCTGCTGATATCAATGCAGGGATACGGTGTTGACGACTTACATCATTTTATTCGGATCTGGGCTTTGTCCTGTGAACGTGTAACGATTAGTAGTCAATTTATCGTGACGTTATCCTGTAAGAGGTTCGTTACATTGCTGCAAAGTACTTCCATAATTTATCCGTATACACGTTAGAGTGTTTTTCGTGATGGTATGGCGTAGCGCATTGTACATAAGAGCTCTAGTAAATAATCTTGGTACAGCTGTTTCTACACGTTATCCTCCGCAAGAAATCATTTCGAGGTATTTTGTCAAAATAGAGGGGACTAGCAATTTTGAGGGACTGCATGGTTCACGAACGATTTATTTATCAAAAGTATACAGCAGAATCTTCAATTTGGCACTAATACTTTGATCCGCAATTGAATTTTATGTTGAGTTTCGCTTTCAACTGTCTTCAGTTATGTTCTGCGAACAAATTTTCATAAGGGCACAACTATTATAAATTTTTCCTATAAATGGAAATTTCTCATACGCAACATTCGATAGAGCAGCTTCCTGTTTTTCCTAGCAGCTAAACAAAGAGCAAAAAACTTTTTGATGTAAAGGCGAAAACGGCTAGCAAACTTAGAGGAATTTGTGATCGCCTAAAAGCTATCCTCAGAGCCCTGTAAGATGCTAGCGTGCAAATCAGATATAATTCGTAATCAATAAGTCGGATAACCTTTATGGACAAGTTCCTATGGAAATGGTGCCATTTGGCTTTTTCGTTCCTCGCTCTTTCCCTCACCGCAGTTATAGATGAAATATGGTGATCTTGACAGAAATCTTCACTCACAGTGGTTTCCGCTCATGCGTACACTCCACAACAGATATCTTGGCCTGTAGTAAACTCCCTTTGAGTCGTGACTACTCGCTCGGAGCGCGGCAAATGCCCGGAAAATGCCTTCTTACTGCCGCCCCAGGATAGGCGACGTGACTGAGGCATATGCCCGGCTAACGCCGCGGCGGTGCCGCCGGCACGACAAAACGGCACCAGCATGCTCGTCACGCAGACAGTCGAAAAATAGTGAGTCTTTATTGGAGACGCAAAGAGGTGGTGGTGCCGACGAATGATTAGCGGTCGAGTACGTCCGGGGGGCGGTGCCGTCAGCTGTCCGTACATACACGCAAAGGATCGATTTGCACGTCTGAATGAAGACATCCTTTCCACCCTAAGTCTCTTGATTCTAGTTCTTTTTCGTTTTCATTCACTCTATTTAAGCATAAGCCGTTTGTTTTTCACTCTTGCTTTCGTACTCGGGACAATGCTCTTTGTTGCAGATTTAGTGCGATCCGCACCAACACAAACGCGAGGTCGACAAATCAAGAATTCGGATCATCGAGGCAATTATTTTGGACGGAAAAGTTGCAGTCGACAAAGGTGGGTTTTGACACGTATTTAGCTTTGTGGTTCGTCTATTTTTGTTTCGTTTTGTTCATTTTGTTTATGCGTGCTAAAGGATCTGTGCATTTCAATGTTCAGAGGAAGGCGCAGCATGGTGACCTGAGCCATGCATCCTCTTGCGTGTGGGGGCGCCGCGTGGTGACCCGAGCCATGCATCCGCTTGCACCGGGGAGGGGGGGGGGGGGAGCTTCGCCGCCCCCACGCAATAGTTGCACAATTGTACCTTTTTTGAGTCAAAGGGGTAGTATTTGAGAAGGTTGCTAATCTAGATATACAATATAGTAAGTATGTTAAGTCGACTTGGGCATGAGCTTTATCAGGGCGGAAGCCTCAGTAAGCTCCGATTTCATATCTGCCCGGAAGCTGACTTTCAGAATATGTTTGCTAACAAACCTGCAAAAGAGAATGGTATTTTTCATAACTTTCTATTAGGTTGTTGCAAAAATAATGTCCGTTTTTCTAGGCGTATATTCCAATCGTATATTCTCCTTTCAGGCTTTCTTTTTCGATACAGATTTTGCAAATCATTGGAAAGCTTTCTTCATGTACTTTCTAACGTGGTGCAATAAAGCTTTTATCTCATCTGTAAGATTTTCACCAGCATTTCGAACAGCCGCACTCAAAATCGAAATCTCATTGCGTTAACTTTCTTGGCCACAATTCAGGCGCAAATAAACGAATTCTTCTGAAAACATAGCTACTGTTTAAGATAAATATTGTTTACTTATTGCATGTTTAAATAAGTTTTTCGAGTATACCTGAACTGACAAATCGAGCTTCAAAAAAGATACTCGCTGCCTGGAACTTTATGAGCTCGAAATTTTTCCTGATTAGGGCAATCGCTGAAACTTCGCTCATTTCTGTAGGCTTAAGGTAAGGACATCTTATCTACAATTTATGCAGAAAAACTTAGCTATTCAGTGCATGAAGAATTCCAAGTATTCATAGTTTGGGACTTCCAAGCCTATCACAAATAGGCTTAAAAAAGTGAACGATTTTGGATTTCTATCTTTTTTAATTCGCAGAACTTCTTCGCTAAAGTTCTTTTTATACAAACGTATACTACTGGACTGCGTTTACAAAATAAGCTGATTAGCAGCCACAAAACTTGAAGGAATTTGTAATCTTTCAAAAACGAGGTTTTCAAAAGCAAAACTTTTGGATTTTTGGCGCATGGTTTTCTTCTCGTTTGCGATATCAGTATATGCAGGTGCGCCTTAGATTACGAAAGGTTTACTGCATCTAATGGTCTTGATTGCATTCAAAAATATGGCGACTGAACGAAGTTATAGCTTTTCAAAGTGAAATTTTGCAAAACGGACATTATTTTTGCAACAACCTAATACATATTAAGCTCTTGTGTTTTTCTAAATTTTCATCTACATCCTCCTCAATCGGCCGCATATGCTGGCTGTTTTTGTTTGTAGGCATGGAAACTAAAGGAAACATTATTGTGAAAAACTATCAATGCGTTTGTAGATGTCTTTGTCTCACCCGTGCTAGAAAGTGTAACCTCACGAGATTGATCCCGCCGTCTAGCAACCGCAGAAAGGCTTTTTTAGGCCTACACTTATTACAACTCCTGTCCACGATAACTTCGAATTATTATTTCACAGTACATAATCGGAGACGCACTGGTACAACTCTACAATGAAGTAAAACTGCATGTTTGCCGCACTTTGCTCAGGTTCTAAGCGACCGTGATCACATAAAATAATGACGTGTTGAATAATGGGTTGAAAATACAATCTTATACACTTTGATAGGTTTCTTCCCTGCTTTCCTGCCTTAAATAACGTACAGCTATGGAAAGCGGAAGCAGATACTCTTTTCATAAATAATTATGCGATTTGCTGATTCGTTACTCTGCCTGGCATCGACAATGACATCACAAGTACGATCTACCTTTTCTTTCAGAGAAGTAAATGAAGACTTTTATCAATTCGTTCAATCATTGAAACATATGTATGTTTTCTCTGTCAGACATTGGAAAAGACACTCAGCGCAGTTGACATTTTGTACGATGGAGAAAGAAGCGTCAAATTTTTTGGTAATGAAGAATCACAGATATCGTCTCTGTCAACATGGATGAAGAGAAAAGAGGAAGTTTCAGGTCTTACACATATCATCGCTACAAAAGCCCTACTCCCATCAAAGAGTCTCAAGACCACGCCGGTTGCCGCTGTCGCTGACAAAACGCACTAAGTCAGATTTTCTCCATGAGGTGCGTAGGGAAACTTCTTAGCACTAACGAGATGCTTGCAACGCTTTTTCACTTTTTGTCGATTTTCTTTTGTTTCAAAAGTACTCTTTATGTTGTAGTAAACTATTGCTTTCTGAATGTGATTTGTTTGATCTTTTTCCTTTTTTCGCTGAGCGATTTCATCGTTTTCAGTTACAGTTCCCGTTTAATCAATATCCTGCTGCGGAGCTAGCGCGGATATCAACGAGTCTTACTTTTTTTCGAATTTTGTTCAAATTCATGCCAAAATGTTTTGTTTCTTCTTCCGTTCGTTTTTAAATACTCAACGGAAATGCTTGATTTGGGAAAATATACAATCACTTTCACGACACTCGGTTTTGTAAGGAAGAGCCATGTTTCTGAGATTGCACATGCAATCATTGTCAAATGAGAGGCAAAAAGGCGAACGCTTTGGACCTCATGAACAATTTAGTACAGCTTAGAGTTACTTTCGATGGTGAGTACTTTATATCACAAGAGGATAGATCTATTTGCGAGCTATTTTTAGATGTTCAAGTAAAACACGTGGAAGCTAATGCGCAAAGAGTATAGAAGGTACAAAATCTCGCACAGTGGATTGTCAGCGTCAGAATGA